CAGGGAGGGGCGGCCATCTGCTGCGACCGGTTGGGGTGAGAGAAGGAAGACAGGATAAAAGACATGCTGTGGAAGAGAGACAGAGATTAACAACACAATTTACTGTAAAAACTGGCATATATCACCTTGTTGCCCTGTCATCTTGAAGTGGTCATGTGATTGGGTTACCACGACTACTTTATTCTTCCTCAGTCAAACAGCAGCACTCATTTTGGCCCCTGAGCTCCAGGTGTTGTGCCAAAAAGTGATCGTCTGCCAGAAAGTGATCACCGTCCGCGGGAGCGCGCAGCTGCTTAAAGCTGCAGCTCCCAGATTACTTACAGCTACTTCTGTGCAACTGATATAAGATGCTGTAAGCTGAACACAGCTTCAACCGTCTGTTTGTTGAAAAACAGTTACGCGACCGCATTTTTTGTTAGTAATGGTAATGGTGTTGTAACGATTGCAATAATAATTAGTTACATTACTCGTTACTGAAAAAAGTAACGCCGTTAGTAACGCCATTACCTGTAACGCCATTACCTGTAACGCCGTTATTCCCATCACTGGGAACAACTCAAATCTTCTGGGAAAAACTGCAAAATGTTGCTGGGGAAAAGTACATCTGGAATAAGCTTCCTACCCTGCAACCATCAACAGATTTCAGTTAAGCAGAAGAAAATTAAAATCAAAAAATAATCGTTCAAGCGTGAATGTGAAAACTTAAATCTGAGTTACTCAAGTCCAGTACGTCTTTTTATATATACTTACTATTTGGATCATTGTTTTATATTACTTTAGCTTAGCAGCTAATAAACACAGATGTGACAAGCATGGCTAAGTAATTAGCTTAGCATTTGGATCTCCAGCATACACAGGCAGACAGAAAAAGCCGGTTATTGATGCAATTGATTGATTACAAGCATAAGTTTAGGACTAAAACATATTTTATCTGTTAATAGTATTGAATTTAAGATCCTCAGGCATTTTTTAATGTGACACCTATCTTCTTATCTGTTTAAGAAACTTATTATCAGCAGCTAATCTAAGAGTTAGCCTCCAGTGATGTTTGCTGCTTAAATGTGTGCGTTTTAGCTCAGTGTGTGTTTGCAACATATACAATGCTATACCATTTTACACCACCAGGTGTAAATACTGTATTAACGTTCCTAAGCACACTAAAGCACAAAACTTTGGTTGGTATTGTGGGGACAGTGTTCTCTTTCTTTCTTTAATTTACAGAGTTTGATGTTGTTTTTGTTGGGACCAGGTTTTAATCCAAACTAAAATTTGGGTCCCCACACTTGGAGTGTGCTGTAAGTGTTCTCACAATGTAATGAAGACACACACACACACACACACACACACACACACACACACACACACACACACACACACACAAGGAAGAGGGCTATCATGTTGATTCATGTAGTTTCATAGAGGCTGATGTGTTTTATGTAATATGTATGACGTTTCATATACTGCGGTGTCAGATACTGATATAAATGCCTTTGTTTGATTCACAGTTGAGGGTTTATCTCCCTCGTGAAAGAGGTTATGCTTTCTTCATGCTAGTCTGTCTGCCAGCAGAAATGGATTTCTTGAAGTTTGGTGGACAGACTGGCCTTGGGCTAAGGGACAATTGATTTGATTATATCAATATTCCAGGCCATTTCTGCTATGAGATCAGGTCTTTTTTTGAGAACTATGTGAAAAAGAAGCTGTCTTTTTTCAAATCATATGCGTATGACAAATCTCTCAAATTTATAAAGTTATCAAATTATGAAGTTACCTCTTTTCCTCACTCTTTTAGTCACTTAACTACTAAATTGTAGCCTTATGATACTTTTGATTCCAGACTGTATGTCACGATCCTGGGCCATTTGGCTCAGCGTTTTGAGTGTATATATATTTTGATGTTTTTTGTCTTATTTAAGTTCTTTAAGTTACCTAAGTTCTTTCCTGTCATGCCCAGGTTGTTGCTGTGGTTCATTGTTTCTTAGATTTCCTTTGTGTCTTCTCCTCTATGTTTAAGTCTCCCGTGCCTCCATGTCTGTGTGTCTTATGTTGTCAAGTTCATGTTGTCA